CAAATAGCATAAAGACAAAAATGTCCATATATCACGATCTACTGGGCCAATTTCAATGTTTCAGCTACCATTATGCTCGTAATTTTCTCCTCTACAACATTTGTTATGCACACAAGAGAAGGTTTGCTTATTACGAAATCAATTTATATTTTCAGATTCCAAAAAAGGCAAAAATAACATAGTAAACATATTCCCCGCAGTTTACTATGTTTTTTCACTAGTTGCCAGACGGATCACGAATTTTTTATTTAATAATATAATTTTGTACGTATATAAATTTATAAAATATAAAATATTTAAATTATACGTATAAATATATAATAATTTATATATATTAAGAAAAAAAACCTTAATATATTTATGATCAAATTAACAAATATGATTGGTCAACTTGCATATAAATATTTCTATCGGGTCCCTCTTAATAAATAATCAGCAAAAATTTTAGCATACAGTACGTATAGTATGTACAGTACTGTACGTATAGTACTGTATGTGGCACATCACTAGTAACAGTACTGTCAAGTAGTACTATCCACACACATACAAATATACATTCAGGCACACTGTACTGTATCAGAAACTCCGGCGAATTCATGTAGAAAAATGACAATTAAATAAATGCTGAAAACCTTTCAAATGATTATATTGAATTTCTTGAAAAAGGGAATCAATTTAATGTGATTATTAAAGTAGAAAATTTCACGGAAATAAGAGAATTTTTTAAGGCACATTCAGTCATTATAAAATACAAATTTTATTTCAGAATAAATAAAAAAAAATATCATGAAAAATACCAATAGCATCATAAAAATTGATTTAAAGTCGCATATTTTTTCAACAATTTGAACTAATTAATAAATATTGTTATGGATTAAAATAATGTGCAACAAAATCGTGTATATATTTTCTTTACTTTATTTTTATTTTATTTTATTTTATTATTATTTCTATTTTATTTGTTAGTCTACTTTGTTCCGAATCTGTATGTCGTCATGCACCAATTCCATTTTGATAACAATGTCCAATATAGTATAGGCATTATATTATTTATGTAAAATGTATTAGTTATTTCAATTAGGGAATTGCATGAGGCTAAGGAGGCGTCGACGCTAAATTTTTAACGCAGACGCTAAATTTTTAGCGTTGACGCCAAAATATTAACGTAAACGTCAAAATAATAGCGTAGACGTTAAATTTTCAGCGTAGACGCTAAGGAAATTAAAAGTGTATAAAAAGGCTTGAGTGATAATAAAGAAGGACAAGTTCCACGACCCTTGTAAAGAATAATAAGTAGTAATGTAAAAATACTTATCTTTTGAATTTCGACTTTAACATTAATAAACCATTTCGTAACTCAATTCGACGGACCGAATTGACTGTAACCTCGATTTGGCATATTAAGACTCAAATTTCTTGTGTAACGGCCTTTCGTAAATCTTTGGAACTTGGTCACGTGATATCCGTCTAAAAGCTCTTCGGTAAAGAAAAGTGTTAGTTTGACGCGTGAAATAGGAAACCCCACCACCTTTGGCATCACCAGCATCAGCTGATTTTAAAATATCAGAAATAGAATAGCGATAGCGTATCGCTTTGATATCAATATCCGTTGATATCATCCATTCGATCATTTTAATTCTTTAAGCTATTTTAAGGTCGATTCATTATAATCTAAATTTAATCCTTCGATATAACATCATCATCAATCAATCATATATCTCCCTTTTCTTAATATCATTTCCGAATTATTTTAATTCATAGTTCTTTCTTAGTTCCATGTATGCATTTTTAGCTATAATCATTTTATAAATCATACTAAGTTCGCTTTCGATCTAAAGATTGATTAGTTAGGATAAAATTATATTTTTCTACGTTTATATAAACACCAATCCCGTACACAGTTGGAGTTCAAATTGGCACTATTTGTCTATAATCGCCTTGCTCTCCCAATACAACCGTTACACTATAATTGCTGCATATAATTGGGATTCAAATTCGTTAGATGCTTGGGGGTTTTGGCCTCTTCTAATAATTAGCGTGATTGGTAATATCGTTTTTGTCATTATATTACAAAATGTTATTATCTCATTTATGAGGTATGTTTATGTAATATATTAGTTATTACTGTATTCTACGAAAAAAATCACTTGAATGAAACTATTAATAATAATTTCTAAACTTATTAAAAGTGCAGCGTTTGAGGATGCTGATAAAGATGGAAAGCATACTTTCCTCACTTTTCAAAGTGGTTTAATTAATGACTATGTAAATCTTGAAAATTCGGCTTTTACTTCAGGAAAGAGTAATATTGATACTGCGCTTAAAGATAAATTAAGAGTGAAGTATATAATGAACTATCAATTACAAAACCATTGAACCAGGAATACAAAAAATGGGAATCAATTCCAATATATTCAAATCTTGAAGTTCAAATGCCAACAGAAGAAGATAAAAGTGATGAAAATGATGAAAGTGAATTTTTTATTGAAAAAGAAGACATTAAATTTATTTGGACTTTGGCAGAAGAATAACATTAAAAAAAAACAGAAGAGACAACGAAAAAAAAGGCAGGAGAGGTAACAGAAAAACAGATAATTATAGAGGATTTAACAAGATTTTGATAGTTAAAATCAACCACTTATTTAATGCTTTAAGAAATTATTTTATTTTTTATAATTAGAAATATCAGTTTAATAAATAAAATAGCAGTTTTATAAAGAAATAATTTAGAAATTAATGAGCAAGATCGAAAATTTTTTTTCAATACAAAATCAAAAAATTCTAGTTTAGATATTTGGAGTGCAGGCTGTTCTCTATACTAACAGCTTTAATTAAGAGTCTTTATATCATCTTTTGAAGATTAATTTCAAAACTTTTATAAATTTTCCGTTTGCCCGGTTATAACCTGGATCAATATTTTCTGACCCGTGTAAGAGTTATAGTAATTAAATATAAGGCAATTTAATATAACTGCAATTATGAATTCAATTAGAATGTTCTGAATTAATTTCGTCTCATGCAAACTTAATACTTTTTCCCTAAATATTGTAAGTCATTAAATTTCCACTATCTGCAAATTCCAACACAACATGCCTGGAAATCTAAATTTTATTTAGAAAAATTAAATCCTATAGTATAATTGTCAATTCTAAATTTCGATAATTGAGCTTTCAATAGAGATACTGGTGACATTAATTTCACCACCAGTGATGAAATTATTTTACCTCAATGTAAACTTTTGCAAAGTTTAGCACACTTACAATTAAGACTAGTTGAATACTATTAATTTGAATAAAACATTTCAGAGCCTTTAATGATTTCTGCAAACATACCAGGAATGGAGTGATATTGAAAATTTTACAAAGTGTATGCATCTTATTGAATAAATAAATATGACGAAGCAAGAGTGTAGGTGCATACAGGGACTTCACATATTGAATCTTAACTGAGAATGTGTAGTACTTTTTTCTATATTTTGCCAACATCTGCGCACGAGCTTTTCTCTGTATCTATTCTATTACGACATATGTACGTTGTAAAGGGGCCCAGTGTCCGCGATCCAAACTTCTTTTTTATATTGATTTATTCTATTTATTATTATCTATTATTATTATGTTATTATTTATTATTTCTTTTATTACGAAGTTAGAACAGTATGCGTTACTAAAAAAATAAGAATTTAATACCTTGGTGCAAATTGCACCTGGGGAAATTATACCCGACTAAGCTAGGTGCGATTTGCACCTATTCATTCAAGCCAGGTGCGATTTTGTACCTGATCGATCCCCTTATTCTAAATTTTTCAAAAATAGAACATATTAGATTAGTAAAAAGTGTTCCTGTACGTAGTGAAGGTCAAAAAGTATTTAAGACCTATCGTTTCGCTTCAATAAAAGATAACTCAGAGCTTGTAGAACTCAATTAGAGTCTATATTTCTGAATTTAAAATTCCCTCCAATTACTCCCGATAAATCAAATTCGCATAGAATTAGTAGTTGATCCCGAAGTAGAGTCTTGTGACGTAATCCAGAGCTCTGTTTGACCCTAATAACTCGGACCAAGTCTTCCACGCCACTTTCGTGCCTACCACCATAAGGGTTCAGTAGAGTTTAGTAGTTTGCGTTAGTTGATATCCGTATTGCACATATTTTGTGATTCCGGATCAGTTCCCATGTTTACGACGTCATAACTAATTAAATTTTTAAAAATTCCTAATCAAATTATTAAAAGAAAGTAAAAAGCAAATGCATAAGTTCAATTACAAATGCTATAACAGGATTACAGTATAGTTAAACCATGTTTTTTAGACATAAATTTCATTGACCCAATGCAAATTTGCATACCTATTCACTGTATCTTTAACACATTCTTTTTTTTCAGTAGGATTTTATTTGTAGGTTGATAAAATGATAATGAAAAATCATCAAAATTGGGAACAAAAAAAAGTTAGTCATAGGGATGAATAAAAAACATCGGGAAAATTAAATAAGTGCAAATTTGCAAAAATCTGTAATTTTACAGATTTTTGAAGAATTGTTGTAAAATATCTGCAAAATTTTTTAGAATTTGAAATTTTGCACAGAATTGCATTTAATTTCTGCATTATAGTATCAAATTTGAAGTTTTGCGCAGATTTTCATTTGATTTATTATTTGATTTTTTTGCAATCTGCACATAAAAAAAATTTCCTGATGAATGGTTAAACAGTTTTTTATATTTTTTTAAATTATTTTAAATAACTTTTTAAAACATTGGCGCTGAGGCTAAAATTTAGATAGGGCCAAAATGTCGATTCTGATTGGTTAGTTAGAAAAATATTCACTTTATAAACTTTTGTATATAATTACAAGAAATATAACTATATATATATTTACTTTATACATTCTTTCTAATAACTAAAAATTTAATTATCATTTAATTTAATGTCATTTTATCTTTATTTGAACTGAAGCTTGAGTATTATAATTTTTTAATACTTTTTAGAAGCTTTTTCATTTATATATGTGATCCTTTAATCGAGCGACTTAATTCACAAAATCCTCTACAGCAGTTAAATATTTGGCAAGGTGTAGTTAAGTTTGCCAATTTCTGTAACATTTGTAAAGCTCAAGCGAATTTCTTTTAATGGAAGACTACCACAGATGATGAATGTTTATAAAGATAACGATAAAGTTGTATTTTTAATGAAATTAGTTAAATAAATAGGTATGTTAATGGGTAATATACTCTGGAGTATCTGTGGAGTATAACCCACTCCATACCGGTGTGGTTTAGACATAGCACCACCTCGGATTATTAAGATATTATTAATAGGAGTAAATACTTGGAGTAATGCTATTAATATAAAGTGGGTTATACTCCGGAGTATTATACTAGTATTATATCCACACTACGTATTAAAGCGCCTGTCTGTATTAAAAGCATTCTAATTGGCGCACTTATACAAGCACATGAACATAATCAAGTGGGAAACCCAAGTTTTAATGGACTCAGCCTCTGAAAAGTCTGATCATCAATTTATACGTACAATAATCTAATTTTTCAGGTGCTGAGTCCGTTAAGTCGAACTCAAAAGCCCGAAGCCCGGTTTTCGCTTAGCGGTATCAACTACAAAATTTTTGTACTTACATGAATTATTTGATCCAAGTCATTAATGACAGATTCCTGATTTCAAATAAAATTAATGACACATTTGTTTATTTGTTTCGAAATACTGAATAAGTGGTCTATAATTTTTTATGCTTATAATATATCGTCAAAAAAATACTCCTAATTCATTTGCTGGTTTGAATTTTAAAACAGAAATAGGTTTTTAAATTCCCACTTATTTTCGAAATAAGTTAATTCTATCTCACCCAATGATTATTTATTGATTAAGATAATTGAAATAAACTATTTCTTCTCATTCAATTTCTTTTTGTTCATTGGTTTATGGACTACTACACGTCCGTAAGGATGTGCAAGAATACTAGTATAATATATTTTCCCTCTTGTCATAAACTATAACAGTACTCCGGGTTATACTCCTGATTATACTCTGGGTTACACTCCGAAGTATGGTACTTCAGTGTGGCGTGGCGTTAAGGAATACTCTGCCAGAGTACCATGGAGCACCCCTATAAATAAATAAATACTATACATTTTATATTATGATTATGCCAGATTGTATTAATATTTAAAAACATTTTTAAATCAAACAAACATAGTTCCAAATGTATAGTGATCATTGGATCATATTTCTTCAGGTTGATAGATGTTAACAGATTAAAGGTGGCTACAATGTATATAATTTTCTGAAAGCCATTTTTTAAAAGAATGTATTTTTATTTTTTTAATATAAGTAAATACCATCTTTAAATGGTAATAACATTGTAGTTAAAAGCTCAATTTTCTTCCAATCATCCTCAGAAAGTGCATACTATAATAAGTCTAATTTGGTATAAGAAAATGTGTTTAAAACAATTCATAACATTATTGCATATTCGCACAAATTTTAGATGCTATTCCACCTAGTAGAGATGTTAATAATTGGCTTTAGCTATCTTATATTATGCATCAACCAGGGATGGTAAGTGACCAGGCCATTTACTCAAAATTTAAATAACCAAGTCATTTGAGTAAATGATCTGGTCATTTGGTTCATTAGGTCATTTAGGTCATTTACATGTAAAGCAATTTTATTGGGCAGTTAGCTAATATAAAAAAGTATCAAACGCTGTGATTTCACTAATCAATTATCATAGCTATATACAAAGTCAAAATTTTGCTAGGTTAATCAATATTTATACCTTCAATAAAATTGTTCAAGAAAACAACCTAAGATCGATTTATATATAGCTATGATTATCGATAATTCTAATACTACAATTTTTCACTTCGACCCTTCAACGCGTAGATCTTTCCATCATTTGGCATTTGCACCAATCACCAAACTGGTATCATCCATCATTCGTTACCAATCTGTAGATTAAATCGTCAGCCATCGTATTTCAATATTTGTGTATGTGGTTGATTCGAAGGAAATGATCGCCTTTTTTTTTTTTGATCAGTTCGATCAACATTAATAATTATTAGTTAAGATCATCGAAAACTTGGAAGATCATCGATAAAATATTATAATTCAAATACTACAGTTTTTTAGTTCGATTCATCATCCTGTGTCATTCATCAATAGCAGTGCCACTTTCTTTTTGCATTTAACTAAGCATAATCTTCATTTCTAGCATTGATCATCTTCAACCCAAATTTAGAAATTTATTACTGTTTCTATCCTTTACTGTAATATTGCGTACCTGGTAAATTTACCCTAATGGCCATTTTTGAAAAATAGTGCAATTTGTCTTTTCCTCAAAATGTTTTCCCTGACATTCATTTGCCTGAAATTGCAAGTAACAGAATTTTTTATAGTAGCTCATGATAGAGTTCACGATAACTTTAAAGTAGATTAACTCAACATTAATCACATACTGTTGTCGAAATTTTTAACAGTACTTGCAATATAATCATGGTAACTCAATACAAATTAACTCAA